GCGTATTATACAGGGTGAGTCTTCTATTAAGCTGTCCTAAACAGATTACAGACGAATTGCTTGACATACAGAGATTAAACAAAACTTTTCCCCACTAATTCATACCCAAGGATATTTTTACGTTGTTCCTTGGGTATGAATTAGTGGGGAAAAGTTTTGTTTCATCTCTGTATTTCAAGCCGTACGTCTGTAATCTGTTCAGGACAGCTTAGAAGACTCACCCTGTATATATAGAAGATAGATAGAATCTAATATATAAAATTCTCGTGTCACAGTGTTTGTCTGCAAACTCCTCCGGAACGACTTCACCGATCGTTATGAAATTTGGAGTGTAAATTCTGTAGGTATGCGAATCGGATGTAAACTATTTCCCGTTTCGAAATTCTTAAAAGGGCTCCGCCCCAGTGGCTCTGGAGTTTCCCATGTTAACCTTATGAGAAATGTAATTAATGAATCTTAACAGCTGTTTCAATTAAACAAGTTGGTTCTGTTCTATGATGTTCAATAGCATTAAAGTTACAAGGATTACCAACAGGGTGCAGCACTATTATTTCTTTTACATTTATGACAACAGCTAATTTGCAACCAAAAGGTGAGTGAGCGTAGCGAACGAACTTCAACCTGGAGGCGAGTTAGCGTAGCGAACGAGCTAACCTGAAGGCAAGTGAGCGCAGCGAACGAGCTCCAACCTAAAGGTGAATGAGCGTAGCGAACGAGCTCCAACCCAAAGGTGAGTGAGCGTAGCGAACGAACTTCAACCTGGAGGCGAGTTAGCGTAGCGAACGAGCTAACCTGAAGGCAAGTGAGCGCAGCGAACGAGCTCCAACCTAAAGGTGAGTGAGCGTAGCGAACGAGCTCCAACCCAAAGGTGAGTGAGCGTAGCGAACGAACTTCAACCAGGACGTGATTGAGCGATGCGAACGAGATCATCTTGAAAATTAAACGTAACGGTACTTTCTTTTCATCGGTCTGTCTTAGGGGAAACCTATAACTTAGGCGATACGAAGTTCGCCGGGTCAGCTAGTATATATATAGATAGATTGGGAGAAATTTGACAAAAATCTAACAAAATTGTGTTTTTTGATAGTTCGTTATTTTGTTTTCAAAGAAGCGAGGCCATGTTTATATAGCCATAGATAAAACATAAGTATGCTTTATCTATGATATAGCCAAAGACACTCTCATCAGTCTTAAATACAGAAAAATGCTTTGAACGTTGATCGGTAGGCCTACACTAGTTTTCTAGGAGTAGGCTGCGTAAAATGACATTTTGGCGTCACAGACAGAATGACAGAATGTACAGACAGAGGTCCAATCCAAGATTTTAACCAAAGTGTTACACCTCTTAGAAATGGGCAGGTTTCCTCATTGCCAAGTAGGTACTGAGTAACTGGCGGCTATTGTCAGTCGGGTGCGAGGGATGTGCCGCGCGGCGGACCGAGCCTAACAATAACCAGATGCCAGATGTGACAGCAATCCATGAGTTGTAGGCTATTGCCAATCGGCTGAATTGGAAATATGTTAAAAAAAATGAACCAGTCGTACAGTATTATTTAAACACATACTGTGTTTGGAGTTAGGCCTATATCACTAATTACTTTAGTTTTATGTTAAGAGTTCAGAATGTAAGTGTTGACAGCACATTACACCTAGGTACGAGAACATTATACATTTACTTTATGTAAGCTACCATCATCATGGTTCATACTATCACAAGACAACTTATTTTAAACAATGCCCACACTTTTTAGATAATAAAAGATAACATTTAACACAATGACAGCCTTATCAAATACAGTACAATGTTCATTTTGGGATGACACCTAGGTTTGCATGTCTGTACCTATTTTGTTTTGTTTATTTCAGCTTAACTTAACCAATAAATGCTTTTATTAATACTTCTGAAGTCAAACGGGGTAAAGCCTGTGGGTAACAGCTAGTATTTTTAAATTCAAAATACGCGGGGTTCAACTTCGGCCGTCGTAGTAGTTCGGCGCTCTGCAGACAGACGGCGCGCTGATCAGTGGCTCGCTCGTGTTACTTCTTTGAAAACATGCATGACTTTAAACACATTTAATTCATGAAATTTAAATCTTAGCTATTTGAAACTTTTACATGAAGGACTTGATAATATTTTGAAGGGGAATATGAAAGCAAAAATTGATAAAATGTCCGTTAATAGGTTGAAAAATAGTGATGAATTTCGACTTATATTTTTTTAATATTCTACGAATCTAAAAATAAAAATAAATTTATTGTTTCATATTTCACTAGGCATTAAAGCATTCTTTAAATTGAGACCAAATTCAAAATTTTACATCAACAAATAAACCCGTAGTTTGTGTTTAAATTTAACATTATTCTTATGGGACTAAAAATCCAATATGGCGGAGGTACCACAGACTCTTAACAGTAACTCATAAAACTTGTATTGTTCATAATGATTGATGCGTTAAAAATATTCACTCAACATTCGGATTATCAATAAATAAAATTCTAATAGCATGTGCATGTGGTTAAATTTAAATTGCATCGAGCTAACCCGCTCATACTCGAGGGGGGGGGGGGTGATAAATAAATGGGCCAGAACCTCGCAAAAGTAATCAACTGAGCCAACTTTTCACTGCTCAATTTACTTATTTCTTTTCTTTTTCAATCCACTTTAATTGGAACCAAAACTAGCTTTATAAAATAAATCCTAATTTCAAAATTAATATTGTATCTATTTTTCAGAAAGCCATTACAATAACTGAAAGACAAAACTTCTGTATTTTTCAAATTGTATTACTGTAATAACAAAATGCTAACAATCCACAAACCAATATAACAGCAAAAAAATTACAAAAAGACATTACGTTACTAATGACGTATTAAAATTACTTTTCATTTTAACATAAGCCACGGGTTATATGATCGACAATTTATAAATTGGGCCAAAGAACAGTGAAAGAAACAGAAATGTCCGTAGTTTTAGAACAAACCGCGACACTGTGTCGCCAAGTGTGGCCGTAGCAGTGGTAAATGAACGCAAAGCGTTTAAATAAAACATTTTTAACGGAATGATAAAAACATCCCAGACATGTATCCGTCGCAATTAAGGGTACGTATTTCATCTTTAACAAGCACACAAATAATACTTCTAATTCGAGTCTTGAATACAAGGGTTCGACTATAATCGGCATGACTCGTGGACAGTAGACAGTGCCATTGACAATATATACACAAGTGTTTATATAATCAATGACAGTACCAACCTTGGGTATTCAGGTGCGGTTTGATGCCCTATTTATCTTTATATACAGGATGATCAACTCAAGGAGGCCACCATTGGAATATCGGAAACTGTAAGAATTAGAGAAAACTTTGTATGAGGAACATTTCTTTATTTTTGTTGCAGTTAAAAATATGAATTTAATTTTCCGAAATTCAGCCACCATTTTCTAATCTGGTGGCCAGCATTGGTATAACTTATGGAACCCCCAATATTTTATCATGTTTTCAAATAATTTGAAAACATGATAAAATCAAATAGAACATGCAATTTAAAAACTTTTTTATTCACGACATTTCTTCTATAAAGCAATTAGTTTAGCAGTTATATAGCCTAAGGAAAAATGACACCCGGTATACATTTTGCATCATTTGTAGCTTCTAAACGAGTAGTTTTAGTGCAAAAATGAGAAGAGTAAATAAGTCTTAAGGACCATAAAGTACGTAAAAAGTATTAATTTTATATTTTTTATGGCGGCCATTTTCCAAAATGACAGCAAACTTGCCAAGTGAAAAAGTGCGTATTTTATGGTCTTTTTGGATTGTAGATGCAATATTAAGACTTATTAACTCTTCGCATCTTTGCTCTAAACATACTCGTTTAGGAGCAACATGATGCAAACTGTAAACTGGAAGTAATTTTTTCATAGGCTGCAACTCCTAAACGTAGAAAAAGGGTCAAAAATATAAGTCTTTAAATTGTATATTCCATCCGAAAACATGATAAAATATAGGGTGTGTTCCATAAGAAATTTCAAAGTTGGCCACCATATTGGAAAATGGCGGTTGAAAAACTAAATTCATATTTTTTACTGCCACAAAAATAAAGGAATGTTCCCCATAAAAAGTTTTCTCTAATTCTCAACTTCCCCGATGTCATAATGGCCTCCTCGAGTTGATCACCCTGTTTACAGGGTGTTCAAAAAGGTTGGGATAAAATTTACGTAACAATTCCTTGGGTCAAAATAAAGAGAAAATCAAGAATAAATGTTTTTTCAAAATCGCTTCGTTAACCAGATATCCACCATTTTGTATTTTTTACATAAACATTTTTAGTTTTCAATTTTTACAACCAATAATTACGAAACTTGGTATGTATGTTAAGGTAGGTGAGACAGATGTTAGGGGAGAAAATCATCTTGGTTCAACTTAAAATTTCAAAATGGCAGCCATTTTAATTTTTTAAGTTAAATTACTCGAAAATTGCTGATTTTATGGGAAAATATCAAGAACACTTTTACTTAGCATTTTCAATTCCCTATCAAACGATACCAAGTTCATTATGTTTATTTTCATGAGTTTAGAGTTTGACTGATTATCACAGGAAGACATGTGATGGTATTATTATACTTTCAAAGTGATGTAACTATGTAAGCTAATTGTCTACTATAGCAACTACTCGTAGTTTGTTGATGTTATAAGTTCGCTGGATGGCTGGATGATAGCGTGAGAAGTCAGAGATTGCGACTATAAGCAGTGAGTGTGAGTGTACACGAGAAGGTCGAGATTGAGGGTGTGGTGGTCACAGGGGTGTATTGTATGAAGAGGGTGTGGCTCTACTGTGGTTATTGGGGCTAGAGTGAGACTCCGTGTTACGCTGAGAGTGGCCCGGCATTTGTCAAAGGTAAAAGACATTGGGGGCTGCACGCATTTATTTACAAGTAGGCCTACTTGAAGACTACCTGATGTCATACAATGAATGCGGCCATTCTGCTCTGGTTTGGACGTACCTTGTCTGTTCTTGTTGTGGATATGTGCCGCTTCTCTCGGTAATGTATCAGTCTGGGCCGGACAGTCGACACTCTGGAGAACTCAGCAGCAGGGGTCCCTGAAACACCATAACAGTACATCACTAAATTGTAAACATTCTTTGATCAATATAAATTTGTTAATTTTGCATCAAATAATGTCGTGGGATTACTTTCATGAAGTGGACTCTCTCGTCTATACAACTAAACGTTGTCTTGACGACGAGAAGATGTCATGCTCCGAAACGTCGGTATCTCACATCTCGACAACGTTAACGTGGCACGACGCATCAACATCCCATAGTTACGTTACCGTTATCAAACCCAAATTTCGGAATGTTGACGAGTGCTCTGATATTTGGTGGTATGTGTGATAGTGGAGCAAAGTTCGAGATTGTAATGGAATTGAGAAGTGTGAAGTTATAAAAGATGTATGTGTCAAGTCTTTTTAACTGTTCCTATTCGGTACAGTGCATTATATCATTTTGTATTAAATATGCTTGGAGATTATTTAAAAGTATAACTAGGTTTAGAGTGGTAGCAATCTTGAAATTAATTGGTTTCTTGCAAACCAACCTCGAGAATCAGATCCAGATATCGTCTCTTAGTAATTACAACTTGGATTTGACGGAAACTAAATTTTTCATTTCATCAAAACCCCTACTTTGCGACTCAAAATTAAACCTTTTAAATTCTTTAGACGTTTCCTTTACATATAGGTCATAAATAAAGAGGTAAATATCTACTACTCAGTATATTTCACAGGTTGTTGAACTGTAGTGTAGAGAAGAGATGATGGCGTGATGACAGGCAATGATATCGTGGCGTGACATACTGAGGGATATTTAAATCAACAGCACGGAATTGACGGCTATACATTCAATTAACTAATTTGCCATTGTTTAAACATACAATCTTACTAATATTATAAATGAGAAAGTTTAGATGTATGGATGTATGGATGTATGGATGTATGTTTGTGACAAGTGAACGCGAAAAATACTGGTCGGATTGGGCTGAAATTTGGCATGATGATAGCTCACATTCCCGATTAACATATAGGCATATTCTTATTTCAAAAATCCTTTCGGGCTCCGCCCCAGTGGCTCTGGAGTTTCCCATGTTAACCTTATGAGAAATGGAATTATTGAATCTTATCAGCTGTTTCAATTAAACAAGTTGGTTCTGTTCTATGATGTTCAATAGCATTAAAGTTACAAGGATTACCAACAGGGTTCAGCACTATTATTTCTTTTACATTTATGACAACAGCTAATTTGCAACCAAAAGGTGAGTGAGCGTAGCGAACGAACTTCAACCTGAAGGCAAGTGAGCGCAGCGAACGAGCTCCAACCTAAAGGTGAGTGAGCGTAGCGAACGAGCTCCAACCTAAAGGTGAGTGAGCGTAGCGAACAAACTTCAACCAGGACCTGATTGAGCCATGCGAACGAGATAATCTTGAAAATTAAGAAGTTAAACGGGGCAAAGCCCGCGGGTTACAGCTAGTTTCATATATTTATAAGCTATCATAAACCGTTGTTTTACTAGCATACAACATGAATCCGCATCTAAACCGGTCTCATCCTTATCACTTAATCAATGGTCCAGAGATAAAAACATATCATTAGCACCTGTTTCATTGAAACATTTTATTATAAATATTTAAAGCAACAGGAATTAACCTTGAAAGTGGCTAACAGTTAAACTGACGAACATAACGGGTCCTTTGTTGCGTGTTCACTTTTGTGTTGTTTGCTGTGTTTTAACTTTTCCTCCATTGACATTGATTTTATACTCGTCAGTAGCATGATGAGGCAAACTATTGACTTGGCATTCTGAGGTCGGCTGCCTTTTCATATAACTGTAGGCGATATTTTACTCAACGCGATAAATTATTAAATCGGGCTAGTTTAATAATGATCTATAGTCTTTGGTTAAATGAGCCTCTCATTGGTGTACCACTATTCAAGTTTTAATTCTTTTATTTGGTTTAGATCCTATAGAGTTATGGATGACAACTAGTCGTACTTATAGATGGATAAATATAATATTTTACAGCAGGAAACTCTGTCAATGGTTAATTCAACCGAGTTATTTATATTCAAATACTAGCAGTAAATTGAAGATGGGAACGTAAATGTCTACTTCAAGATAATTTATATAGAGTCAAAGGTCATATTTACTTGGACTTAATGGTTTGGAATTTTGTTTCATATGTCATTAAAAATTCTGTCCTCGGAGTGTATTGTTACATGAGATCTAAAGTTAGGTTAAAATAGTACATCCGCGGCCGTAATGCGACTTTACTTCATTGTGACACGACAACATTGTCTGCGCCAAGCCAATAAAGTACACTTAAAAAATATAAGTAAATACACACTGTAGTATTAATTTCAATTCTATTAAGAAAACTGCTCTGTTGGATTGTAATCTTCATCACAATATTTTGTACAAAGATAAGTAATAAAATGCAAACTGTTTTGATTACTTACGCAAATATTCATGACGTTACTTAGAACATAAAAGCAAAGCATTATCACAGAGACCACTTGTTATAGTTGAACATGCTGAAACAGTACACATATAACACTGGTAGATGGATATTATATGGATGGTTTGTTTCAGAACTCAGTAGAAGAGCAGTACTATGATTAAAATTAACAAGGAATGCATATTGAGGAACAAACGGTCGGTTATTATGTAACAGTTGCGAATATGTTCAACAAAGACTACTTCACACTTACAGTATTTAACTGAGCGTTTTATATTGTCAATGTTATTGTTTACGAGAGTGGAAGGGCAATCTACCACCATTCAGTTATTACCACCAATATTTTAGCAAAGCTATTGTACTGACGAGAAATAGTTGATCAATTTTACTCTTCAAATGTTAAAATAGTATTTTGTGTTCAGTTGAACGGAAATAATTAATTATTGCGTTCACCATAACATTAAGAACAGAAATATTAATAAGTATCAGTACTGAAAATTGACCAATTGAATCGAGCTTTTTCAACAAAGTTGTTGTGTGAATGTGACTTTTTAAGCAACATCTACAAAGTTTGAACGCTCAAACTACTTGAACTGTGCGTTCAATTAAACTTCAATAAAGAACTGAAATGATTAGTTTGAACACCAAGCAAATTTTGGTTAGACAATAAGTTCAAACCGCCACTGCAGCAAACCTGCTAACTACGGACCTATTTTTAAAAATAGAATACATATACATTTTAACGGACGGTGTTTTAGTCTCTAGGGACATCAAAACGAAAAAGTAAATCGGCCCAGTCTTACCATGAGACCTACGGTTATTTCATATGTGGGAAATTCGATACTATGGGTCAAAATAACTGATAACTTCATCGTATTGAAGGAGATTTGAGAGCAGTTAATGATCCTTTGACACATAAGAGAGCGAAGAGATTGATTTGATTGGTGCTGTGGGTAGGGAGGGGGAGGGGAGTTGGAAGAAACATAGAAGGGCCAGATATTGTCCACGACAGTTAGGAATGATGGGCCAATTATACCAGACTGATGGCTCATATAAATCAACTGTTGCTATATTTTGGTTAAGAGTCCATCGTTAACCGCCCGACCCTGGATAGTTGAAGCCGTTGAAGCTACATTTGTTTCAGCTCACTACAGTGGCGAGATTCCGTTATTACTACAGTTTGTTTATACAATATATTGGAATGACCCTAACCAGCAAGTCTACACATTCTAGGTAGGACGACAACACTACAATCACGCCCTGCACCGCAAATCTTACACCTACTGACACATCCAATTCCGAACAGATAATTGTGTTTGATTTGGGTAACTATTGATTGGACTTGGCACTTTTCTAAATGTAATTAAAACTCTGAATTACTGTTTCCAACAGCAGCATTGAGTTAAATCTATCTATAATATTAAAACGAAACAGTGTTTTTTTATTTCACGATTCTGAATCAACCACTCGACGGATTTACATGATTTTTGTGTTGAAAGAAAGATAATTTTGAGAACTAGGGAATGTCGAAGCCATAATTTTACTTTTGGGTCCCAGTTTTTTAGAAATTAGGTTTTAATTTTTAAAAAGTCTAGCAGCCGACGCTAAGATTCTAAACTAGCTTTCGGCATAAAATAATTTGCTTAACATAACAGCTGTAAACATTCAGCTTTTGTGTCACGAATTCAGCATTTGGATAAAAATGTAAAGACATACTTAGCATTGACTTATTTATACTATGTGTAATGCTAATCATTGATACGATCAATTCTTCTGTAAGAGGATGACAGATTAATTAAATATACATAGTAAAATACTAGGATGTTCAAAATATTTTTTAAAGCAATCTTTGTAATCTTCGATTTGTTTTAAAGCAATATAATTTGTTTTAACTAACAGCTGGTTAAATATAAACTATAGAACTATGAGGTTATTTTATTTACTCTTATTTTGTCATTGATTATAGGAAATAAGTCAGATTAGTAGAGATAATTAGACCACAGTTTAAAATAGTTTGGACCAAAATTAATTAAACCACAGTACAAATCGAGGCTCTGTACACGAGTCTTAATAAAAAAGGATAAATGCAAATTATTTTACCGCTCCACTTTTCAAGGAAAGAATAGTAAAATAAAAATGTTTACATGTTTTATGAAATCGTGTTCAGTTGTGGTTACGTTTGGGGGTGCCAATATCAGCGCCCCCAAACGTGAAAATATCACTTTTATTTAAACTATGAATATATTGTAGTTTAAATTAACTAATATGGGAAATTACGATGTACATTTTTTCAATGAGGGTGGGTAATTATCAAGGATAGAACTGATAACGGTATGGATAATAAACATTGACAATTACGTCATTAGCTTTACTAGCGTGTTTACTTTTTATATTCCTGCTACATGTGACCAGTTCTTTTTTTCAAATGAATGTTATTTGAACCAAACAGCTGTTTCAAACAAACTGTTATTGTTTTTACTTTTCTTTGTTTACACTTATTTATTTAGCAATTAATGCAGTGAAATTGATATAATATAAAGGATAGGTGTGACGATTAGTTTTGATGTTAGGACACCAAAGTTAAATTGT